TATTAAAAAGACAATCAGAAATTTTAATATAATTGACCAGAACTAAGCCAGAGAATCATATTATAAATTATTCGAATGCAATTTGTTGTACAGTAAAAGTGTCTAACGTCTGCATGTAAAGAGTTGACTTTCCAGAATATCTTTTTTTTTTTTTTAAAGCTCACAATTTTCACAGCGCCATTTGAGGAATTTAAACAGACCCAATCTAGGCCTCCTTTGCTTTTTTCGGCTTTGAAAGAAAAACAAAGCTCTCTTACATAATTACCGGAAAATAACGAAATTTCCTGCAAAGAGTGAGGCTTTTTTTTCTAATTCAACACTTCTGTTGGTTGATCCAGATTGTCTTTAGAGCACCCATGAACTGGTTGTAGCTCACAGTAATGACGAAAGCCTTAGCGTAAATACTGGCATTATAAAGTCATATCATTTAAGTACTTGATTGTGTCTCGCGTCATCTGACAAGGATTCAACTTCGATAATGTTTGCCCTGTGAAAACTTCTACAAACATGACAATGCGGAACAAGAGATCTACAGAGGACAGCTTACCTACAGAAACGTCTTAATTCTTTCCCAAAACGAACAACACCTTGAAATACGAAGACTTTAAACGTTCCAGTTCAGCTTTTACAGGAGAACACAACGATACTGTATATTATCGTTAGAGAGAATTATTTCAAGTGCCCTGTTATATCCGTGTACATATTTTATTACACTGGGTTGTCATTCCGTGAACTCATTACCATTTCAAAATACGGGAGGAGAAACAGCCCCTTTTCCCAGCCAGTCAGATTTAAAGTCTTCCGTCGGCCAACCGTGCCGTGAGGACTAGCCTTTGTCCTACCCGTAAACTGTCGGGTGCCTTACCGTAAACCCAGGAACCTGTCACTAAACCTCTCCCCTACCACGCCCCTTTTGACGCCCGTTTCAAAAGACGGGGACGGAAATCAAGGCAGGGTGGTGTCCCTTGCCTGTCGTCTGCTAATCTCCGATTGGCGGAATACGGCGGTGAGCTATGAAGATATAGCGACAACAGGGGTGTTTCCTTGGAGTGAGAATGTGCAATATATTACTGTCGGCTCCTTCATGCCTCGCCGAACCCGGCAAAGGCGGATTCGTCCAAAGTTGCCAGTTGGGAACTGAAAACCTTTGAATAATTGAAATAATGACCTCGTCCTTCTAGAAAACGCAAGACAGCACAGCAATCAGTGTTGCAAATTGATTGACTGAAATTTGTTGGAAGTAAAATGGGGTTTTCGAATGATATTCTACTGCTCTTTAGAAGGTTGGGAACTTTACTCTGCCGACTATCTATCTATTTATCTGTCTATCTATCTATCTATCTATCTATTTATCTGTCTATCTATCTATCTATCTATCTATTTATCTGTCTATCTATCTATCTATCTATCTATCTATCTATCTATCTATCTATCTATCTATCTGTTTTTATTGGTAACCCGACTTATGGAGTTTATCCTCTTGGTCGGCCTCCACTAGGCTCTGGGGTTTAATTTGGTATATCATGGATAAGACGCACAGTACTTTGAAGCCTTGAATGTTAGGTAAAAAGGTACGTGCTACACGCAACGGTATACGATATATTATGTGTATTTGCTATTGAATGCACAATGCTGATATTGCGATTTTATCATTTCTGTCCATATATCTCTCAATTTCTCTGTGTGTTCTTAACAATACCGGAAAGAGAAGGGGAGGGGGAGTGAGCACACATGAGGACGTGGAGGCTGTACCTTTTCAGCTGTTTGGCTTCAACCTCTACAACAATCATTTGCTTAGTTCTATATTGTGGTTCTAAATTTTAATTTTTTTAAACTCTTCCACCCTCTCCAGCCGATTGTTAGGATATTATTGTATTCTCAAAACCTGATTATAGTACCAGTCATTTTTCCCGCATCCCCAGGGGGGGGGGGGAGGAGTCCATATCACAGCTTAGCCTATCACCTTGCAGGCATTAACCATGAGTTTGACCCCCCCCCCCCTCACACCCACGGAAATGTACATGTATTCTCAAATATGTCTGTGTCTGGAGAAAGGTTCCAGTCGTCGGAATTTTGGATATTGAAATAAGGGTAGATTCTTGTAATAAATTCAATGATGAACACCCAAATTTTTTATTTTTTAAAATTTTCAATATTTGGAGTAGTTTTAAAGGTATACCTCATTTTGTAATACAGGATGTAAAAAAACAAGGTTTGGAAAAATATGGCCTTAACCTTAAGGTGTTGACCCAATTTCTGGAACATTTTTTTACCTTTGGTGACGTACAACACGTTGCAAAAATAATTGATTTTAAAAACATTTAGATTTAAAATATTATAAAATCCTTTTAATGTGGTACTAAGAAATAGTTAACGTATGTTTTCTGATGGCACTAAATTTTGGACTAGGTACGACTTTTCTGGATTTTTTCATCCCCTTGCTAAAAAAATAGCTTTGCAAATAACTGGCACCTTTCTCCAGGCACGCGCGCGCGCGCGC